GCCTCAACAAATTCTTCTCCTCCTACATTCGACATATATACAAATTAATAGCCGGAAACTTCTTTCAATAACAACAAAAAGTGTAAACAAAAAACTTAAATACTTGGAGGATCTTCGTCGTCGTTAACTTTCATGACCAAACCCTTACTCCACGAATTGTCAGTTTCTTTTTTACACAGGCGGCCACCACCACGAAGAGAATATTGAGATATAGGGTTTTACCAGACAAGTAAAAGGTGAAGGTAAAAGGAGGGAAGGGCGCTGCCTCAGATTTTTTCTAAAATAAATTAAAAGGAATAAGTAATTAAAAGTGTTTCTAACTAAAGACTTAACTACACGCCTCCTTCCTAGTCAGACTTATATTAGGGATACAAATGTCTTTCTACTACAAATAAGTACATCTTGTAAAATAAGTATGTCAAATGTAATAAATGACAATTGCAAAAATATCACTATAGATTATTCATATGCAAAAATGCCACTAGTTATAAATTTTTAGAGCCTAAATCTTAAAATTCTAAACCCTAAAAAATGTTTTGACCCCTAAAAATCCATAAACCCTCAAAACTAAACCCTAATGCAACATAGTTTATCCAAAYATAAATGATATAATGAATATATAATTTTGATAAAGTGGTATTTTTGCAAAGATTTTGAAAATGTGATATTTTTCAAATTTTCTCATCTCATAAAATTTTGTTTAACAAAATTAAATATTTATGTTTAAAAATGTATTAAATTTAAAAAAATAATAATTTTTATTAAATTGTTTTGTAGACCCATTTTATCAAGATTTTTCGTTTTATATTTTATGTTTATAAATGGATTTTTAATATGGTCATCCATATATCATAATTAGTTATATCTTAAACAATTTTCTCTATTTTTAAGACTATGTTTTGCATGTAATTTTTGCTATCTTAAACATTTTTATTCGGTTGATATTTCTTATAATCCTGACTTTTTTTTTAAATACAACGTATGATGTTACCATGTTTCCAATACTTGAAATACTCTACAATATAACTAATAACAGCAGGTTAATTTTAAAATAAACATGTAAGCATAGTATTTAAAATTATTTTACTTATCTAATTTATTCACCAAAGTATCGTATACTACTTATCATATTGGCTCAGTTTTCTTCAATTATACAAATTTGAAAACATGAAACTATGAAATTAATGAGTAAAATTTTGGGGCAATTACAAAAATGCCACTTTTTGTGTGCACATTTGCAAGAATRCCAKTTAGGGGTGTCYATTTACWAAAATRYCACTAATTATAGATTTATAGAGCATATATCTTAAAATTCTAAACCCTAAAACATGCTTTGACACCTAAACCCCTTAAACACTCAAAATTAAACCTTAATAGAACATAATTAACCCAAACATAAATAATTTAAAGAAAAAATAATTTTGAAAAAGTGGCATTTTTGTAAAGATTTCAAAAGTGTGGCATTTTTGTAAAGTGGCACTTGAAAAGTAGCATTTTTTGAAATTTCTCTAAAATTTATAATG